TTCCCTTCCCTGCTCCCTGCTCCCTGCTGCCCGCACCCCCCCACGCCCTCTTCTCTGCTACTCCCTCGTTCATCCCCCCTCTCTCTCTCCTCCCCGCCCCCCGCGCCCTCCCACGCCTTCGTTCCTGCCACTCCCTCCTGCCTCCCCCCTCCCCTCTCTCTCCCCCCTGCACCGCGCGCGCTCCCACGCCCTCTGTCCTGCCATTCCCTCCTGCCCCACCCCTCCTCTTTCTCTCCTCCCCCTTTCGGTCCCGCCGCAGCGAGCAGCGCTGGCGGCAACTCCTCGGAGGCGCTGGCGGCGGGCGCTGGCGAAGGCCCCGGCGACGGCAACCTCTCGGGCCCGGCGTGCAGCCCCGCGCTCTGCGGGGCGTTGGACAGGGCGGGGGAGACCTTCAAGGATCGGGGCGCGGGCAGTGGGGACGACGGCGCCGACGCCGACGCCGACGGCGACGCCGACGCCGACGGCGACGCCGACGCCGACGGCGACGGCGACGCCGACGCCGACGCCGCCGCTGCCGCCGCGGCCGACGGCGACGACGACGACGACGACGACGACGCTGACGCCGCAGCCGCCGCCGCGCCGCCGCTGCCGCCGCCGACGACGATGACGCATTCTGTGCCATCTCTGGCGCTCCTGCTGGACTTCTGGAGGCCTCCGCCACCGCAGGCCTTTGGTTGGGACCAGAGGATTCCCGATGGCGAGTGCTTCTTTACCTCGTGGGCCATAACTCGCGCCCTCGGCCAGTATCCAGGCCCCATGCGGCTCGCAGGAGGAGCTAATATCTGGGCCTCCTAGATGTGGTCGGAGTAGATGGGGTCGGAGGATCGCGCCGCATCGTCGATGCATCGGGGATGCGGCTCGATGTGGAACACGATTTCTCCACGCCGGCGTGCCCGATACATCGCCGACGTTGCCTATGCATCGCCGATGGTGGCGCGTAGCCTCTGGTTCGAGGCTTCTGGGGATGATGGCTGATTCGGCGGCGAGCAGAAGGTGGTATGGGGGAGGGGGGACGGCTTCTTAGAAGGAGGCTGCTTCTTAGAAGGCGCCGGCCTTACATCTACAGAGAAGGCCTGCACCTTGCAGGGGTGCTTCTAAGAAGCCTTCCCCCCTCTCCCTACCCCCCTCTGCGCGTCGCCAACTGATAGCGCTTCGTGATCACTTTGAGCAGGACCCGCTGCAGGTCTTACAGCTGAGCTGGCCACTGCATCGGAACCACCCGACCATGTGTGTACTGTGTGCGCGTCGGCGCCACAGGGGGCGCTGCGCGCTCAGGCGCCGTCTGGGTGACGATATACGGTATCGAAGACGCCTACGGCGAGTCACCGCCGCCCCCCTGCCTTTTTGGAATCGCCCGTGTGGCCGAGCGTTGTGGCAGGAGCTTTGCCAAGCTGTCGGGCCATAGGTTCCCCCAGCCGTTGTAGAAACCCTTCGGGAAACGATTGGCGGAGGATGGCGGGGAAGATCAGGAGAAGGAGGAGGAGGAGGAGGAGGAGGAGGAGGAGGAGGAGGAGGAAAAGGAGGAGGAGGTGGAGGAGGAGGAGGAGGAGGAGGAGGAGGAGGAGGAGGAGGAGGAGGAGTCTCGGGAGCCTCTGGGGGCTTTGGAGGCATCTTGGGGCCTCCTTGGGCCTCTTGGGGGCCTCTTGGGGCTTGTCAGGGGCCTCTTTGGTCGTCTTAGGCCTGTCTGACGCCCTCTTGGGCCGACTTGGGGCCCTCTTGGGGTGCTCCAGGGCCGTCTTGGATGCCATCTTTGGCGTCTTGGAGGCCTCTTGGGCAGTCTTCTCAAGCTGTTTTGGCACGAGCTCTTTGCTTTCGGCATCGATTTCAGCCTAGCCTTCCCTGGCTGTACCAATGTTGTGCTAGCTTGAGAGCCGCCGCGAGCGGTTAACAAGGGTAAGGATTACATTCGGCTATCTTCTATGGCGTTTCCCAAGAGTGACGCGGGCCAGGCGCGATGGACCTGTCAGCAGTGTGGTTGCAAGCGGAACTTGGGCAGGTGGGGACATTGCAAGCACTGTCGCGGTTCACGTCAGGACGTCCCCGCAGGTGAAGTCCAGCAACCCCAAGGGCAGTGGGCCAAGGGTGCCCCCAGCGGCTGCGGCGACGGCGGGCACTACGGCTGGTCTCGCTCGGCGCAGGGCTACGGCGGCGCGTCCCCCCACGGCTGGAGCGGGGGAGGGGGCGCTTGGCCAGGCCCTCACCTCGGTGCCCAGTGGACGGGCCCCATCCCATCCGCCACCACCGGTGGGGGGCGGCGGCGGTCCGCCCGCGCCTTGTGCCCTTCCTGGTCTTCCTGTGCGTCCTGGCCCTCAGTTCATGGATGGACAGTCCTCCTCGACCGTGCCCAAGTTCTCGGGGGGCGCCAGCCTCGCGGACATCCAGCACGCCACCGAGTTTCTCACGAAGATTGGAGATTCAGAGAACGCCAAGAGCCACCAACGGATCCTTGATCAACGAAAGGCCCGAGCGGCGTCTGCCGCCCAGGCCCTTTCGCTCCAGCAGCAGGTCTCGAACGAGCCCTCGAGACCAAACTCTCCAAGGCAGTCGCTCATCACCAGCTGCTTCAGGAGCAGCTCTCCGCGCAGTTCGACTGGGTCAAGAGGATTTCAGGCGAACTCGATGCGGCTGAGGCTGAACATACTCGTCTGGCTCGTGCGTTCAACGAGACGACTGGTGGAGTTCAGCCACCAGCCGCCATCAGCATTGACGATATCATTTCAGGCAAAGTCACGGTGTTACCTATCTCCCTGGGGCCGCTGGCAGGGCATCTTTCGGATGCGTGCGAAATTGGCGACGCCGCCCAGCGCGAAGCTAAGCAGAGGTTGGAACATTTGCGGACGGAGATTCGAGCTGCGGTGGTCGTTCTGTTTGGAGAAGCTGCAGAGGAGGTCCAGGCTTTCAAGACCGACAGGAGCAACCTTGTCAAGCGCCTCCAGCAGAAGCGGCGCGCAGGAGACTCCGAGGACCCTGCGGATGCACCTCCCGGTGGTGCACCAGCAGATGGTGAGCCCCCCGGCGCGGGGCCGGCCCAGTCCCCACGCCCCCAGCCCCTGGAGGTGCGGGCAGACTGGGTAGTCGAAGGCCAGACTGTCAGATTGGATTGGGCCCCAAGGGCCAATCTGGCTTGGCCGAGAGGCGCGCCGCCCGCCAGGCGACTGCGGCCATCCTCAAGTCCAGCAACGATCAGGAGGGAAAGAAACACACAGACACAATTCGTTTTCGATTCCCGGGAAAAAAAGGGGAAATATGGGAAGTGGTGGGGAAGGCAAAAACCCGGAAAATATGGGAATATATGGGGAATCTTTTTATTTGTGTGTATTTATTTGTGTGTCTTAGGGCCTTTTCAAACGAACGCCCCCCGAAGGCCCCGAGGTGAGACCATGGGGGCCTGAGGGGGGGGATTTCTTTTCGCGTTTCGCTTGCGGCCTATTGAGGCCAACCATCAACTTGTTCTGGTCTCGGCTCTCCTGGACCAAGCTCTTGGTCGTGGATCTCTGTGGGGTCCCCTGTGAGGGGTCCCAGGTCCAGGATAGGAGCCCCCCTGCTTCTCTCGTTGCGCCTCCTTCTCCCCTGCCAGGTCCGGGCCTCTTCCCTCGCCCTGAGTTTTTGAGGCGGCTAACGTTTCGGGGTGGGGCAGTGGGCGGAAGTGCCTCGTGAGTGCGAGCGCCCGCGTAATTTTGCAGGGGCACCGTGTCCTGGCGGGGGAGGGTATGAACCAGGCCAGCGCCTGAGCGACTAGAAATTGTTGGCGTGGTATGTGGGGCCCAGCGGCTCCAGGTGAGGGCGCGGGCAGTGCGGGCGGGGCGGCGATCTTCGTTCGGGACTTCTTGGGCCTGCACCGCCATCCAGCGGCGTCTTCGGCGGGGTCTAGGGTCTCGGGTATCGTGGGTTTCCGTGTTGGCGTGGACTTCTGCATTACTTCCGTTTACCTGTGCGACGGGTGCGGTTTCGACGCCGAGAATCATCGTGCTTTATCTGGCGCTGGGTGAGCTTCCACCGGCGCCTGTCTTCCTTGGCGTGTTGGAGGCGATTTGGATGACCCGCCCTCCGACCTCCGCGACCGGCAGCTTGCGTATCAATGGCGCGGTGTGGTCATGTATCCATCATGGTCGGGGACGTGTCACACTGCGGGGGGTACGAGGGTGAACGGCCATTTGGTCGCCTGCCCCGGCCTAAGTTCGGCCGGTCGCTCGATTGGATGACCGATGGAGATTTTTCGCCGCGTCGGCCAGTCAGGCTCGCGTTTTTTTCCGCAGATCGGCAAGCTGCGCGCGCTCGCTCTGAAGCGCCCCGCTCGGTTCCCCGCTGTTCGGATGATCGGCCCGCGCCGGCCCCCCCCCCGATTATCGAGGCGCTCGGGCCAACATTGCTAAGGCGCTGGAGGCGGCGCGCCGCGGGGGTGGCCCCCTCGCCCAGGCTCTTCTTATTTCCTCGTGCAAATCCTGGGCTGCCTCTCTCGGAGAGGGAGTTTGCGTGGGCCGCGGGAGTTGAACTGATGAGCCCAGGGGCCCGATGGGGAGCTCCCCATCCACCGTCTGGGCCTCGGTCTGTCAGCAGGACATGAATTCGCCGGGGCATCTTGAGCTAGGTTCCATCGGATGACATTGGAAGCCCATCGCCATGCTAGAAGCCTGTCTCCAGCGCCCGACGCAGGACGGCCTCTCGGATGCCATCCAGTATGGTTTCGCTGTCCCGCCTTTGGTCGTCAAGCACGGAAAAGGGCATCGGCCCTTTTTTCTTGAAGGTCTCAACCTCTGTTACCTCTCTGCTGGCAACGGAGGGATTACTGGCCTGGGCTGTCGCGCGAGCGTCTTTCGCTCCGCCGTGCGTGGGGCCTTGGGTTCCTGCGAGCAGACGGCTCGCAACGGGGCTGCCCGGGGCTGGCGGGCCTGGCTCCTCAAGGGGATTGACCAGGGAGGTCGCAATGCCCATTTGGTCTCCAAAGCCCTGACCCCCTGGCAGCCCGCCACCGTCTTGGCCCCTCAAATCGTCTCGCGTTTTGCATCGGCCAGGTGCCAGGGTCTTTGGAGGGCTACGCCCGTTCCGCCGCCCCCCCCCCCGCCCGCTTCGCTCCTGCCCTTCCCCTGCCGCCTTTGGAGCTGGACTCGGTCCGAAAAATCCGTTTGCGTCGCAGGGGGGGATCTGCGGTCGCCTCGGACGGGTTTCATCCGTCACTTGGGGTGGCTTTCGGACCTTGGGTTGAACGAGCTCCTTTCGGTCTTCCTTGGTGGAGGCGCCGGGTGTGATTACCGCCCATGCTGCCATTGTTCTCATGCACCTGTTTCCAGGGGTTCCCGCGGGAGTCAGGCCGATCGGGGTGTTTTGTACCCCCCTTACAGAGTGTTGGCGAAGGCCCGCGGGCCCATCGCCGACGCCTGGGGGTTCTCCCATTCTAGGCCGTAT